CTTTGTTAGCAACTCCGTCTACAGCCGCTTCAGCTGTGTCTGCCCCCCATGCGAGTTCCACTGCCGCAGTACTCTCAGGACTCGCCGCCTCAGCAACAGTCTCTGCTCCACCCTTCTCGCTTAACTTGTCCAGTGCCGTCCCTTCCCTGTTTTCTGTTGCCCAGGGACCTCTGGGATCATCAAACCCATCCTTCCCTGGTTTTCCTGTCTCTAACACACCCTCTGTCACTCCTGCTCTCCCTTCTTTCCCTGGCCTCCAGGCATCTTCTGCAGTAGCAGCAGTTGCACCATTGCCAGCAGCTGCAACAGCCCCATCTCCGGCTCCAGTCCTGCCAGGGTTTGCCTCGGCCTTTAGCTCAAACTTCAACTCTGCACTTGTTGCACAGGCTGGGTATGTTTGTTTCTGAATGAGGTCAGAACCATTTCTTTTTCTCTTGAGCAAAACACTGATTTTACTTTTAGGTGTTGACAGTATTTTCACTCATAGTAATTACAGTTAATTTTTAAAGTTAGGTCATCTAGATTTCCACCTGTCTTTAGAAACTGATGAAGTGGATACTAACTAGGTTGTCCTCAGTAGTCCCCACATGGCAGTCTAATCCAGTGAGGTGCTGAGTGATCTTATTTCCCAGATGAGGATACTTGGCACCTCCTAGGCTTTTACAAGAATGGATTCCATGTGGGCATCCATTGACACATCCAGGTAATGGCAGACAAGTTCTTAGATGTTCCTATGTTTTAAGGAAGTACTCAGCATTAACTTTTGTCTGTAAAGTTTTTTTATGTACACATGTAGGCACAGACGAGGTACAAAAACTTCTGACTTCCCGTCTTAGTTATGCTCCAGATGGTATTGCTTTGTGTGTGCATGAATAATTTTTAGGTGGGTAAAAACTGGGCTTCTGTTAGGAAATTCTGGCCTTTGTGAGGTTTAGAAAAAGAGGTGCTTTTCTAATTTATATAGACATAAGCTTAGAGAGAAACAGAGGATAAAACATGATGCAGATCTTTCTAATAATATCTGCGTCTCGACATTCTTTCAGTTTGACATCTGGACTACAGACACCAGGAAATGCGGTTTTTCCTGGTCTTCTATCTCTCCCTGGTATCCCTGGCTTTCCCCAAAGTGCCGCACAGTCTTCCTTGCAGGAGTTGCAGCACAGTGCAGCTGCACAGTCAGCACTACTACAGGTAATGTGCCTATTTGTTAATATTATTTTACTTCCAGTAATCGTTTGAGTGTGTTGACTTACTGGGATTACTTTAAGTCAGTATATTATTAAAACCCCTAACCTGTCTGAGAACAGATGATGATAAAGACAGGGTGATGATAAAGAATAACTCATATTAACTTCTTAGGCAAGGCCAGTGTACATTGCTTCTGGATGTTACAAATGTGATTAAACTCTTTTTGAAAACTCCTTGTAAAACTGGGAGGTGTGAGATCAGAAAGAAAAGACATGCAAGTGAATTTTTTTCTACGTTTGTGTTAAATCTAAAGAGCTGACCATGTATTTGCAAAATCTGTGCTCAGTTCCAGTGTGACAATTTAATACTTAAAGATTAATATGGAAAACCACTTTGTTGTGAGTTATGTGCCTCTCCACACACACGATCAGATTGCCTTGAAATTGTGTCTGCTGTGGTTATGCCTTTCTCTTGATAGTTTCCCCAGATACAAATGTTGTAATATAAGCTGGAGATAGCTTTAGGTAATGTGTAGTTTTGTAATCTGTCTTGTCTCTGAAACAGCTTGTTTCAGTCATCAACCTCCATAGTTAATTGAAGCTGTCATTGGAGTTTGTATTTAGATGTTTGCCTTTTGGTAAAAATGACCTCTGTACAGATAAAGGATTCTGGTAGGAAATCTATCCTTCTCTACAGAGTACTAAAAGAGGCAGTTGAGTGTCTTGAATTAATGTTTTCTCCTGTGAAAATCAGGTTTTGAAATGGAGTATGTGTCTTAAGTAGTGTTCAATATGCAGTGTTGTCAGATATCTTTTGAGTATCAGGGGAAATGGCAAAGGAAGGAGCAAATTACTTAATTTAGGCCATGCTGTTTTTGCAGCTCGGGAGTTTATTCTATAGAAGTCTGTGTATGCAGATCACATTAAGGAAATGTCGGTTTTCTTATTTACAAGTTCACATCACTAAAATTAACACTTAGCTACTCAAGCAATGAAAATAAAGTTCAAAGTCAGTTGAATACTACAGCTCCTAATTAGCTGTGCCTTCCAAATCAGCTGTAGCTTACTCCATTGGAAAGTAAAATGCCATTAATGCTTCTTCATTTTTCCTCTTAATCCAACTGCTTTACTCCTGCCCTGGTATTTCAGAGCAGTAGTTGCACTACAGATTAACATCTGCATATAGGTGCATTGCTCATTTCTGTTCTTTCCATACTTCAGGATATACTTTGTTTTGGCTTTAGTAGGACAGGTATTGTGCCTGAAATTTTGCTTGATTTAGATTTGGTTTTGTTGCTTTGTTTTTATCAGTGCTGTTTTCCTAACTTCTTCTCTTCCTTGAAGGCGCATTCTGCTTCTGCTCTGGAGAACTATACAGCTCAGCCTGAAGGTTTCGCTAACTATCCGTCAACACCAGGAACACCATTTTCATTGCAGACAAGTCTGCCCCAGAGTGGATGGCAATAATTACCAGGCATTCTTAAAGACTGCAGTGGTTGCTTGACAGAGCCTGATCCTATTCACTTTGAATGCTGTCTCCATGTTATTGGAGGTGTGGTCTGAACTGGGGAAAGAGGGAGAAAACATGAGGGTAAAATTATCTTAGGAGGCTGTTAGATGTGAAACCTAATTTGTGATTGCATTTAATTGATTCAGGTTCTGATCCTGTGAATTGCTTAGCATCCTTGACTCTCCTTTTAGCTTATGAATTGAATGTTTGGTATATTACAAGATCAGGAACAAACTTTTTTTGTAAATAGAGCAATTGGCTGTCAAACTGAGTGAGGAGAACAAGTATACTTAATAGTGTGTATAAGCACCTGTCCTGTCATGTTTGTGTGGTATATGTGCTTAATATAGAATGATATCTAGACTGAAACTAGATAGTTAAAAGATGAAGATGATCCTTCGTCTAGGTGCACATTTCTTGTGTGTGCATAGATCAAGGTCAGTTTATGGTTCTTCAGATCTTTTCTTCATGTGTGTGAGGATCTCCTTTTAGCATCAGCAGTATGTTAAGGGGACGCTAGATCAGAGGGGTGTGAGGGTTTTCTTAATGTTTTGAAATATTGTCATTCAGCTTCCTGCTG